ACTCATGCTTGTAATGGGATTTTAACGCACTGTAAAAATAAGTGTGCTGGCTCACTTAGCTTCTCACGCAAATGAAACGCAGGCCGATGAATAACTCAGAGATGGGGTGGGTTTTGTTTTTTTTCAGAAGGAGGGGAAGTGTGAAGGAAAACCACAGCATATAAAGAAATTTACTTTTTTTAATCGCAGACAGAGCAACACAGCCTATGGATTGCACAGCTAAGAGGGTGCTGAGACCTCAGCCCAGCTAAGCACACTACAGGTAAACTACTCAGAAACTAGGCTTAAAGTAAGCTACAATCTCACATGCTGCTCCCCTTTCTATTTTGCACACCAAGTCTTAGCAGCTTCTAGAGAACTTGGGAGGCAGGAAAGCAAGAGAATTGTAGCTGCACAAGATTCTCTGGGAATCTTTAGGAATTATATTTCCGCTACATGTCTATGAAAGATTTGTCGGATACATAACTCTTATGACTATAGACCCAACATGTTCCTACCTTATTTGTATACCTACACACATACATGTTTCTCTTTGTCTCACTGAGCCTGACATTTGGCCAGCAGGCTTTTCTCCCTCTTATTTGAAACCTCAAGCACTGAAAAAATTTGGATCTGATTATTTCCGGATCACAGGACCAGCACTTTAAAATGGATGAGATGCAAGCAAATTGCCCACCAGAGCTGGAGGGGGGAAAATGCTTCAAAAATAACTCGTATCTGTCTATTACGGATGTACTAGCCCCTCCGAGGCCTCCCCCAGATATCACAGTGGCATCTTACACAGATGAAAAAAACTCTACCAGGTAACACAACCCAAACCTGATTATGTCTTACTCACCACCACCACAGCCCCTAACACCCAAGCACATATTGCTTTCTTTTTTTTTTTAATTTTTTTCTTCTTCTTTAAAAAAAAAGGCTTTTTTTTTTTTTTTTTAAGTTACAAGAGTGGCTACTTTTTGGCATTTACAGCCATGTTTTGACAACTGTTTACTAATGGCAGAGTTCATATCTGTCATGATCGTCAACCTCCTTTTTATTTCTACGAGGCATCTTATGTATGGCGAAAAGGGCCCAATGAGTCGCTATGAGTTAACACTGACTTCATTATCTGGTTTGGTACAGGAACAGCAACTCTGGACAAATGGAAACATCTGGTAAGAAATTTTCTAACTATGGCATAGATACTAGTTACCAATTTCCAAAGATTCAAGACAGGAGAAATACCAAAAGCAAAAATATTTTTAAATTCTCTGGGAACATTTGGAAGGCCTTTATTATGAACGCTAGCTCTCAGCTACCGACACACATGGAGAAGGTACAAGCTGTAGAATCCGAATCAAATATTTAGAGCCGGAGGCCTTGGAAACTGTCACTGACTGTCTCCACAGCTTTAAGCAAATCCTTAAACCTGAATGTTTTCATCTATAAAATGGGAATCATATTAATTAGAGCCAGTTTCTGCCCAGCACTTTACAGAGTGCAAAGCACTACTACATCTGTTCCCTCGTAACAGCCCACAAGGTACGAAAAGCACAGCTGGTGTGAGGGCAGAAAGAGGTAATGCGTGGGAAACACGCTGAAAACTGTAAAGCACCGTGCACAGGAATGAGCGTCATTAGGACACCGCCACGAAGCTGTCTGCTTGCATAAAGCCCAGATGTTTACCTTCTTTCCTTGTCAAGACTTATAAAAGCAGAGTGTCGGGTGTTTAAAAATAAGAAAGAAAAATGCAGCATCTGGTAATTTGGCCTTTCCAACTGTTTGGAATCTGGATAAACGGGACTCTGCCATAAACAGATCGTGATTCTTATTGTAAATGATGACAACATTAGCGCATGACGTCGCACCATCCCCAGGGCCTCCTGACTCCAGATCTGGAAATACATAGTACCCCAACATTTACAGATAAACTGCTGGATTCAAGAAGTTATTCCCATCCTCTGCTTAGGGTCTGATCCAAGACAGAAGGCAGATCATCTGAAACCTGACCCCAGACCAAGCAATATTGTCTTTTCTCCCATCACTGGGCAGCAGTAGCCACAGAAGACCTGAGGCTTGGCTCCTCTGGGCTTCCAGAGTTAGTGCTCTTCACATGCAACATTTTGAAAACCAAAACTTTCTCCCTTTTTGCTCTGCCCCCTTTATCTCAAGTGTCACTGATCCTAGCACAGTGCCTTGCACAAATTAATAAAAGCGATCTCTTTTACCTTTTTAGTTTACAAAGCAAACTATTTTTGCAACTACTGCTTTCTTCACCATAGGAGGCAGGCATTATTATCTACTGTGCAAATGAAAAACGAGAGATTGAGGCTGTTAAACACATCACCATAACCCGTGGCCGTCAAGTCAATTCCAACTCACAGCAACCCTGCAGGACAGAGTAAAACTGCCCCACAGGGCTTCCAAAGGGCGGCTGATGGATCCGAACTGCCGACCTTTTAGTGAGCAGCCATAGCTCACCGTAGTTCTTAACCACTGTGCCACCAAGGCTCCACATCATAATAGTCGTCCCAAAAATAACTAGGCACTGAGGACAGGCTCCTTTACACTCATTCAGTCTCTCAAAGTAAGTTTCACAGTAAATTTACAAATGAGGAAATTAAGGCTCAGAGGAGTGAAATAATTTCCCCAAGGTCCCACAGATTATAGGTGGCAGGGTTTTACAATTTCCATCACGGTCAATAAATATTTTTCAATCGGTATTTGTCTGTTTTCAATAAGCCGAGAGCTCAGAGGTAGGCACCAAACACTCAGAGGGTTATGTGGTCTGGAGAAAATTTTGATGGGAGTAGAGTCAGCAACAAAGAGGAAGACTCTCAGCGAGATGGACTGACACAGTAGCTGCAATGATGGGCTTGGGCATAACAATGATTGTCAGGATGGCACAGCACAGAGCAGTGTTTTTTTCTGCCGTATACAGGGTCGCTATGAGTCGGAACTGACTCAACAGCACCCAACAACAGGGGCAGTAAGATGGTGCCGTTTCCTGGTGGCATTTTAAAGAGAGCTGCCAAAGCTCTGCTGGGAAGCTGGTTTCGTCTCAGGCCACTTGGTGCCTTGGCTGTGAGGAGGAACTTGCCGATAGCAACACAGAGACAAGTCGGAAACCTCGCCAAGCCCAGGTCCTTGTGAAATGGGCTGGCCAAGGTTCTCTGCCCCTAGCCTGCTGAGTGACTTTTTACAGGACACTTCCCCTAGCTCCCCTAGTTTCCTCATCTTTCAAATGAGTGTGATAAACCGTACCCCACCAGCCTCACTGGGAGGCTGTGAAGAAAACAGTTTCGAAGCCTCTTGGAAAAGCTTAACCAGAGTGACTAGTTTAAGGTACAAAGAAAGAGGTTCTTCCTCCCATCCTTTTATCCTCCTTTGCCCTTTCCAAATACAAGCCTGACTTAAAGATCTTATATTTTAGACATTGGGGATGGGGGGATAAAAATAATTTCGGTTTAGGGGATGGAAGCCAGAAGAGCATACACAAAGCATCCAGATGAAAGGTTTCTGTAACCACAGCTTTGGAACAAAGGCTATGTTTGGGAGCACCATCTGCTAGGTCTGCTGAGGACTCGATGTCTGATGACGGCCACCATTTTTTAAATCCAAAATGTTGCAAGAAGGTATCTGTTTAACAGGGGATTGTGCATGGAAGGGGGCAAGCCAGGGCTCTCATGGCAGCAAATATTACTGATAACTTGCTGCACAGCCCTCCTCTCTCTCTGGTAAGAGAACCTCATGTGTATTCCAGCAATGACATTCTGTAGGCATTTTCTTCCATATCTACCGTTCTAAAAAATGACCTCCATCTCTTGGAGAAGAGACTGACATTTAAAATAACAAGACGAGAAATAGCTCTCTCTTCTACGAACTCAGGTGTTTAAAAAAAAAAAAAAAAGGGGTGGGAGGTGTGACTGTTTATTTTATTTCATTTTACCAGTCTCTGAATTTGGGAGTTGGGTGTTTTTCACCCAGGAGGAACTCTCATCTCTAAAAGTAAGCCAGATGACCTTTTCTGAGTTGCCGGGACTGATGCTAAGGAGTGATGCCTATCGAGCTAAAAAACACAAATGGTTTTGTCTTCTTCTGGAAACAGGATGAAGAGGTCCCAAATGCTGACCTAACCAAACCAGCAAGTCCATGGCTTCTCCCAAGGGAAAAAAAAAAAGGTGGAGGGAGGCAAGGGCCTTAACAGATTTCCCCAATTTCTGGTTAATTATCTGTCAGCATGAAACTTATAAATAATGTCTCAATAATAATTAACTGTGATGAGAAGAACATGTTCGTGAAAATCCCAGCATCCTTGCTGACTTTGAGCCCATAAACTGTGCTGGGGTCTGCACCTACCTTATGTTCACCAGCTTTGCTGGGTAGAGGAAGAATACTGGCAAAGTAACTTTTGACCAAAGACTGTGCTTCTGAATTGTCATGTACAGAAAAGCCATTTTAAATCAGGACTTGACTCAAACTGGATTACAGATTCATAAAATTTTCTGGCAGAAACGCAGAAATCATCTGGTATAATTCCTCACTTGATGGATGGGGAAACTGAGGTCCCAAGAGAAGAGGAGTCTTGCTGAAGGCCTCTGTTGTTTGTTATTTAAGGAGACTGGAATACTTCAGAATATGCCTTTAGCTGACTCAGAGATAGGGATGCTGGACTTGCTACTCGCAAACTACAAAAAGTCCTAATTTATAAGATTTTGACAAGTTTCACACAACTTTTATCACGAAAATACGTAAGCAAAATTATGTAATCTGACCTTTCTATAGACACATCCCCTCCCACCCCTAAACAGGCTTATCGCATTTAAATTAGATGCTTCCTACAACTTCAGATTGTCAGGCGAGTCCCAAAACAACTAGAGAGAAACTGCAGGACTCTGGAGAAAGTTCCACCAAGTTCTCCGAAGGCTCCCTACAAAGGCGTGCTGCTGTGGCCACGCCTGGCAGCCCGAGTCTCTCCACACCCGCGGTCAGGCACGTTGTGGTGGGGCCGGACTCACCCTTCCCGGCGGCGGTGGCGGTGGCTTTGGACAGACCGTAATCTCGGGGACTTCGGGGCCGGAGGAGATCGTGGGCGCGCTGCGGCGGCGCGAGCGTCCGGGATAGCAGGTCCCGCGAGCCCCCATCGCCGCAGCTGCCGCCGCTCACGGTGACTCTGAAAGCCATATGCGCGCCGAGGCCAAGCGGCCCGCAGCCTGGGCCGGAAACGCCGGGGACATCCTTCGGCCTCTTGTCCGAGTGCGCCTCGGCCACTTCGCAGTGCATGGCGTCAGTGCGGGGCGCACGGTTAGGGGTCGCGCCGGGCTCCTGGGGAAGGGAGACAGCACAGGCGCGTTAGACTCCAAGAAGTGAACCCCTCTTGTCCCAGGTCGAGGTTCGGACAGGTCACCGCCCCTCAGTTTTCTCTTCGTCCATCTCTAAAATGGGTTAGTGCCACGACACCTATCCTATCCAGAGCACAGACTCACCGGACACCGCGTAAAAACCCCTTCCTTGCCGCAGCAGCGGCCCTCACTCCATTCCCTGGCTCGTTGAGGGCCCCAGCCACCGACTGCCGCGGCGCGTTCCTGCGAAGCCCCTGCGCCCTCCCGCCCAAATCTGCCTCCACCGAGACCGGCCCTCTTTGGACGAATAAATTAACTGAGGCCTGGCGAGGGAAGGGAGCCTGTCCAGCATCACCCTGTGGGACAGGGACAGGGAGGCAACGAGGATGAGAAGCCGCGGAAATGGCTCCAGCGGATCACTAGCTGCAAGCCTCGTGGGCTCTCCAGACCGGGCTGCGCGCAAAGGCCGCTGACCGCGCACCCACGGAACCCCGGCGCAGACCCTCTGAGATACACTCGCGACGACTCAAACCAGGAAAACGGGAGTTTGAGAATAGGCGCTCACTCCGGCGATGTGAACTCACTAGGCGCACACAGAGACAAGCACATTCCCGCGCACATCAGAGAAAATGAACCCATTTCGCGCGCACACCCACAGAGTCAGCAACGCCCATGCAGCCGCGTTCCCACGCATACCACACACACGCAAATACACACTTGGAGACATGACATGCCACACATACTACATTTAATCATTCACTCGCTCAGACACTCGGCAACACAAACTGCCACACAGTCTCACACTCTACACACACACACACACACACACACACACACACACACACACACTGGGTGCCACCGCGCCAGAGTCTCGGCCCTTCCGTCATCCCTCCTGGAATGAGGGCCTGGGGCTCCCAAGCTCTCCTTCCCCCTGGACGTTTGTTCCCCCGCGCCATCCAAAAGTTCCCGGGCTCGAGCGTCGCTGGGACCCAAGTCCCAGATCTCGGGCCTGCTGCCCGCCTCCTCTCCCGGCTGCGGGCCGTGCCCCTCCTCACCTCGCCGCGGTCGCTGCAGCTCGCGGGGCGCA